GGGAGGGGGAGGGGGGAGGGAGGGAGGGGGAAGAGGGGAGGGGAAAGGCGATAAGGCATCCCGACCCTTCTATCTCATGAGCATTAAGGCCAATTTCCCCCGGCGCTGTGACTGGCAAATGAGTTTTGTTGTTTCCCTATACGGATTTGATAGAGTTTGTACCCCGGCTTTATGGTGCGCCCGGGAGGGGGTGGTGGGTAGAGGGGGGAGGGGGAACAGGGTAGGAGGGGGATGGGTCTATAAGGGGGGGAAGTACAAAGAGGGGGGGGGGGAGTAATACCACAGGAGGGAATTCGGTCTTTAGGATAACCCCGGCGTTAGAGCGATAATCGTATACGCCCTTAAGTAAGGCAGATAAACAGACAAAAAAAAAAAAAAAAAAAAAAAAAACAAGAAAAAATTGGAGAGTCACTTCCGGTCGAAATCTGGAGTTGCTTGAGGATTTCCAAGATTGGGTTGGAAACGACCTATTATCTTGGGGTCCGGCCGGGGGGGGGGGGGGTCACTACCATGATGCTCTTAACGACCCCCAGGAAGGTATGCGAGGAATGGCCGGGTAGGGGGAGAGATAGGGAGGAGGAGGAGGAGGAGGAGGAGGAGGAGGAGGAGGAGGAGGGGGGTGAGGGTGCGTCACGCTATCGCACACACGCAGGGAGCAAGACACACACACGTACAAATTGCGTATTTGCATATATGTGCGTAAAACACATGTTCACATGTATAAAATTAGCCGCAATTAAACACAAATACACACAGACACAGACACACACACACACACACACAAACACACACACACACACACACACACACACACACACACACACACACACACACACACACACTCAAACACACACATACATAAACCCTAAAAAATAAACCCTGACGCGAACAACCGTCACTTTCAAAAGCAAAACAAAAAACCTATACATACATGTTCATAACAGCTCTAGATGAAATATGACAGATCACTCAACGCAACACTCATTACGCGAGTGACTGGCATGTATATCAGTATTTTTTTCCATTTTTTATGCTACATTTTTAAGTATTAATACATGGGATGTTCTGTCGGGATGGGGAATGGAGGGAGGGAAAAAGTGAGAGAGGAATGGATAGAGGGAGAGGGAGAGGGAGGGGGAGAAAGAGGGAGAGAGTGGGAGAGAGAACGAGAGAGAGGGAGGGAGTGGGAGGGAGTGGGAGACGGAGAGGGAGAGGGAGAGAGAGAGGGAGAGAGAGAGAAAGAGACAGGCAGACAGAGAAGCATAATACGCATACAAACAAAAAAATACACACACAGATACACAAATAAATACAAAAAAACACACACACATACGCACAGACAGACAAAACAGAAACGAAGATAAAGAGAACTAAAAAACACACATACACGAAAAGAGCCCGCCCACCGCCCACCGAGGGAGACAACCAACGCCCCCCCCCCCCCCCCCAGAACACGATCATCATCATTACCATCATAATGACCGACGCTGAAACCCGGTAGAAATAAGCCTGGCTTAACCCCCCACCCCCCCCCCCCATCTTAGGGCTGCCTCGATCGGTCTTCCGGCGCCTTAATTGGAAGTTTTGAATTGTCTCTCGTCTTCGTTTTTTTTTTCTTTGTGTTTTTTTGAAATGTGTGGATTTCCCTTCTTTTTTTATATCTTATGAGAGAGTGCTTGGTGAGAAGATATTTCAGAAAATTGATATTGGATGTAGAGCGAGCTATTATTGATTAATTCCTTAATTTTATTAGAGAGCAGATCTATAACACTGAATGTAATTTGGTCCTCCCTCTCTCTCTCTCTCTTCTCTCTCTCTCTCTCTCTCTCTCTCTCTCTCTCTCTCTCTCTCTCTCTCTCTCTCTCTCTCTTTTCCTCCCTCTCTTCTTCTCTTTCCCTCCCCACTCTCTCTCTCTCTCTCTCTCTCTTTCCCTCCCCCTTCTCTCTCTCTCTTCCTCCCCACGTACCCATCTATCACGCTCCCCATCTATCTTCTTCCGGACATCCGATACCAAAGTCGAATTAATCCCGGGCGTGAGCTGGGATTATCAAAGAAGCACGGCAAGTTACCGAAAGCTAATGCCGCGACCGCCATATGGCAACATTTACCCACGCGCCGCCTCCCAATATGGCAACAGTTCTCACCTTATCTCTCCTATCACGTGATTCTGTACATTTTTAGGGTTTCTTATCGGACATCGAAGACGAGGCGAGGTCTTTCGCTATTACAGGGGCGGTGCTTTTGATTGCATGCGTTGCACTGTTGCAGATTTCAATCACGGAATCTGGTTCTGCCACCAACGCGTTTTTTTGTTTTTGTTTGCGCATGCGTGGCAGATTAAGTAAAAGGATCGCACTTGAGGCTTGGATCCCTCGCCCTAATCGTCTTTGGGTTACTTATTATCTCTGCAATAGGCATGAACAGGAACGCCCACACCTACCTACCCACACACACACATACACACACACACACACACACACACACACACACACACACACAC